GTTGCAGAAACAGAACCTGGGACCAGCACCAAGGACCCTAGAGACTCCTCTGCAGGCAGGAGGCCGAGCTTAGACCTGAGAGGTGAGTCCACCATGGTACCACACTCAGAAAGGCACAGGCTGAAGCTGATGTAGCTGAAGGGACCACCTGTGTCTCGGGCAGTTAGGGGGCGACCAGCACATGGATAGAGCACCTGCTGAAGTCCCCCCATGGCGCCCTGCTGGGGGATAATTCACCAAAATTGGTCCAGTTGGCCAAGATGATTAGGTCCCCATAGGGCCATTTCATGGGATGAACAAATGCCTTCCAGCATGATGGATGTCTTCAAGGGGGCCGAGCCAGCCTGTGGAGCTGTCTCAATGCTGCAGCAGGGCAGGGCTGGTTCCAAAGGAAGATCCTCCCCTTGGTTGTTAACCACCATGCCAGGCCCGGTCATTTATGCTTTGGCAGCTGGGTTATGCGCAGGGCTTGGGTCTATACACAGAGCATCACTTGCTGTTGGTCAGAACACATGGACAAGAGGCCAGGAGGAGGCCTGCGGTCCCCATTTCCTGCAGCTCCCTCCAGCCGGGACACAGCTGAGCTCACTGTCTGAAGCAGAGGGACCTGCTACCTGCTACTCTCCCCTCTTAATGAGCGGGATCTCAGGGAGCAGAACCACAGGCCACTGGTACCAGGTGCTTCGAGCTTAAGTGCCTTCTATACAGGGGTACAGGGTAGCAAGGATCCTGAGGCACCTCAGTCCCTGGGGATCACTGGGGCTTACCCCCATCCCAGCTAGCCACCCTGAGGACACTTCTCACACACTGAGCAATCCCACCGTGTTCATGGTGCACAAGAATCCAAAGTAAGATCAGATGGATAGGTAGTCATGTTTTTTTTATTTTTATTTTTTATTTTTTTCATAGTCATGTTTAGAGAAAACCTTTAGATACATTAGGGCTGGGTGTGGTGGCTCACACCTGTAATCCCAGCACTTTGGGAAGCCAAGGCGGGTGCATCACGAAGTCAGCATTTTGAGACCAGCCTGGCCAACATAGTGAAACCCCGTCTCTACTAAAAGTACAAAACAGTTAGCTGGGCGTGTTGGTGGGCACCTGTAATCCCAGCTACTCAGGAGGCTGAGGTGGGAGAATCGTTTGAACACAGGAGGTGAAGGTTGCCGTGAGCCAAGATTGTGCCATTGCACTCCAGCCTGCGTGATAGTGCGAGACTCCATCTCAAAAAAAATAAGGAAAATAAGAATGATCAGGCGCTGTGGCTCACGCCTGTAATCCCAACTTTGGGAGGCTGTGATGGGAGGATTGCTTGAGGCCAGGAGTTCAAGGTTGCAGTGAACTATGATCATACCACTTAATCCAGCCTGGGTGACAGAGTGAGACCCTGCCTCTTAAGGAAAATATGATGAAATGGAGACCAACTGAGGGTCATGGGTGGTGTGGATGGGATGCTCTGAGAAGAGACATGTGAGCTTCCCCAAAGAATGTGTGAAGGAACTAATCATACAAAGAGCAAGAGCAAGAGTACTCCAGGCAGAGGAAGCAGCAGGCACAATGGCTCCAAAGTGGTAAGTGCTTTAGGGTGCCAGAGAAAGGGGTCCCATGAGGCTGGCAGGCAGTGAGTGGGGGCGAGATAAGAATCTTGGAATTTCAGTTTTTTTGTTTTGAGGTGGAGTTTTACTCTTGTCACCCAGCGTGCAGTGCAATGGCACAATCTCTGTCTCCCGGATTCAAGCGATTCTCCTGTCTCAGCCTCCCAAGTAGCTAGGATTACAGGCACCTGCCACCATGCCTGGCTGACTTTTGTATTTTTTTTTTTTTTTTTGAGACAGAGTTTCGCTCTTGTTACCCAGGCTGGAGTGCAATGGTGCGATCTCGGCTCACCGCAACCTCTGCCTCCTGGGTTCAGGCAATTCTCCTGCCTCAGCCTCCTGAGTAGCTGGGATTACAGGCATGCGCCACCATGCCCAGCTAATTTTTTAGATTTTTAGTAGAGACGGGGTTTCACCGTGTTGACCAGGACGGTCTCGATCTCTCGACCTTGTGATCCACCCGCCTCGGCCTCCCAAAGTGCTGGGATTACAGGCTTGAGCCACCGCGCCCGGTCTGACTTTTGTATTTTTAGCAGAGATGGGATTTCACCGTGTTAGTCTAGGGGTAGCCTCAAACTCCTGACCTTGGGTTATCCACCCACCTCAGCCTCCCAAAGTGTGGGATTACGGGTGTTGAGTCCACCTGCCTGGCTGGAATTTCTTCTAAGAGCAAGAGATAGCCATGGACAGGCGAGTGACAAGATAGGATTAGATGGATGTTTTCAACAGTCCTGTCTGGCTGCAACTGTGCATAGAACTTCAGATTTGTAGCAGCAGGACCCTAAACCAGTGGCCGAACTTCTCTGTGCCTCAGCTTCCTTATCTGTGAAATGGAGGTTATTATTAGCATGCCTGACCCATGGTGGGTGTTCAAGAAACCCTTCTGGATGGGTGTGGTGGCTCACACCTGTAATCCAAGCACTTTGGGAGAGGGAGGAGGGTGGATCGCTGGAGGCCAGGAGTTTGAGATCAGCCTGGGCAACATATTGAGACTCTGTCTCTTTAAAAATAGGAAAATTAACAAGGCATGGTGATACAAACCCATAGTCCCAGCTGTTTGCGAGGCTGAGGTGGGGATATTACTTGAGCCTAGGAGTTCAAGGCTGCAGTGAGCCATGATTGTGCCAGTGTACTCCAGCCTGGGTGACATGGGCAATGAAGCAAGACCCTGTCCTAAAATAAATAAGTAATGCTGGGCACGGTGGCTCATGCCTGTAATCCCAGCACTTTGGGAGGCTGATGGCGGTGGATCATGTGGTCAAGAGATCAAGACCATCCTGGCTAACATGGTGAAACCCTGTTTCTACTAAAAATACAATTTAAGTAGCCAGGTGTGATCGCATGTGCCTACAGTCCCAGCTATTTGGGAGGATGAGGCAGGAGAATCACTTGAACCCAGGAGGCAGAGGTTGGAGTGAGCTGAGATCACACCACTGCAGTCTAGCCTGGGTGACAGAGTGAGACTCTGTCTCAAAAAAGAAAAAATCATGAATACTAACAAGATGGGGGTTCTCAGGCTACACGTACAGAAGCCTTTCTATAGCTTAACAACTGATGATCCCTGTCAACTGAATGGAGCCAGTGTGTATAAAAGGAAATGCATTGTCCATCCTGGTTATTACACCACATGGTACAAAGAGCCTGGATTAAGACCCATTTTACAGATACAGAAACTGAGGCTCCAAAAGCTGAAGGGACAAATGAGACATCTGCAGCACAACTGGGACTCAAATCCAGGTCTGACACAGATCTGGACAGAATATTCAAACACCCCTACTGAGGTGGCACCTAGCAGACCTTATCTGGTGTTCCTCAGTCTACCCCGCCTACCTGAGGTTCTCTCCACCTTCTGCGCACTCGTGGTCCAGCCTATCGGGAAGGGCTGACACGAAGTCCTTCAGGTGCTTAAAAATACAATTTAATGGCCAGGTGTGATCGATGTGCCTACCGTCCCAGCTATTTTGGAGGATGAGGCAGGAGAATCACTTGAACCCAGGACGGCAGATTTTGGGGAAGTGAGAGACCAGAATCAGGCCCACTGCACTCCACTCTGGGTGACACAGCAAGACTGTCCCCTCCCCAAAATAAATTCCTTAGTAATGGGGGGAAAAAAGTGGAAAATCTCAGTGTGGCAGAATAAGACATTTCCTTTCCATACAACTTCCTTGAGCCTTCAATATGCACGTGGGTTGAGAACCTTCCAGAAGTGAGAGGTAAATCCTAATGGTAAAGTCCTGTGGATTTCTTTCCTCCACCTCCAAAAGAGAATCTTCTAAGAAACTTTAGGGAAGTTTACACTAGAAGGCAACATATTAAGGAATCCACCTGCAGGGATTGATCTAGAAAATCCTTATTTTAGTCAGGCGTGTTGGCTCACCCCTGTAATCCCAGCACTGTGTGGGAGGCTGAGGCAGGCAGATCACTTGAGGTCAGCAGTTTGAGAACCAGCCTGTGTAATATGGTGAAACCCCGTCTCTACTACAAATACAAAACTAGCCAGGCATGGTGGCATGCACTTGTTATCCCAGCTACTTGGGAGGCTGAGGCAGGAAAAGCACTTGAAGAGACATAGCGAGACTCTGTCTCAATTGAAAGAAAAAAAAAAGTTACCAAATACTGCATGTTCTCACTTTTAAGTGGTAGCTGAACTGTGGGTATTCGTGGATGTAAAGATGGGAACAAGAGAACGGGAGCCTCCAAAAGTAAGGAGAGATGGAGGAGGGTAATGGCTGAGAAACTCTCTCGGGTACTCTATTCAATATTTGGGTGATGAGATCCATAGAAGCCCAAGGGTAAACACTACATAATATACCCATGTAACAAGCCTGCACATGCACCCCGTGATCTAATCTAGTTCTTAGAAGGGTTAGAGATTCTCAGTCTGACTCTGACAACAGAGAGAGGAGACAGTGTCCTTTTGGATTTTTCTGGATGCTCAGAAAACTACCACTTGCAGGACAGGAAGTCAGGAGTGATACTCAGTGATTTTCCATATTGTTAATCATATGCTAAGAGGAAATTCAGGGAAGCAGCAGCATAGCCTAATCAATAAAAATAATGAAGGCCAGGTGTGGTGGCTCACATTTGTAATCCCAGCACTTTGGGAGGTCAAGGTGGGCCGATCATTTGAGCCCAGGAGTTTTAAGAGCAGCCTGGATAACATGGTGAAACCCCATCTCCACAAAAAATAAAAAAATAAATGAACTGGGTGTGCTGGCATGTACCTGTAGTCCCAGCTACTCAGGAGGCTGGGTTGGGAGAATCGCTTGAGCCTGGGAGGCGGAGGTTGCAGTGAGCCGAGACTGTATGGAGACCAGACTTCAGAAAAAAAAAGATCCTGTTTCAGGAAGAAAAAAAAATGAAGTAGGGCCACGAGTATGTTTGTCCCAAAACTAAACACACATCACTGTTAGCGCATGCCACCCCTGGCTCACCCCCTGAGTGGCACCCAGACCCCACCTGGGGGATGAGGTGATCTTGGCAATGTTGATGTCATCGATGATGATCGCTCCTTTGGCAGACTCATTGATCCGAAAGAACCCCAGGGTCAGGGACGACTTCCCTGCTCCCGTCCGCCCCATGATGTCAACCTGCAGGACAGAGGAACCAGGTGTGGTGTGAATGCCGGCATCTGGACTTGGCCCTGCCCCACAGTGCCCTTATCTCTGCCCTACCTCAGGCATTGGTCATCTCCTCAACACAGCTCCACACCCCCCCCTCACCCACTGCCCAGAGATACTCTGTTAAGGGTGTTTTGGCCAAGGATCAAGAAGGACTCTCTTCCTTTTGCCAGGCTCCCAAAAGGAATTCGTCAGCTTTTTATAAGTTACTAGAGAGCTCAAAAGAGACACACAAGAGGCAGAAGGAATTTGCAAGAAAGCCCTATTTGTTTCAACACAGTAACTATTTACTAATAATTAGGTATTTCCTCATTTCTCCATGCTGTTTTTCACATCTCTGATGGTGAGTTTCCCTTCATGAGCTGTTGAAATACCTGAAAGATTCAAGCAGATCTTCCGTGCCCTTTGCCACGACCTGGTCTCTACACGTCCTCCTTTGAAGGAACTAGGTTTTCCAGTTGGCCAATAATGATATTCCTCATCTCCAGTTCTCCCTGGGCTTTGGAGAGATGAGCTTCCTCTCCCCTCCTACAGGGGGTCACAGAGCAACATGCATGCAGAAATTCTCATGACATAACATAAGCCATGAAGACTTAGCAAGGGCCGGGCGCAGTGACTCATGCCTGTAATCCCAGCACTTCAGGAGGCCAAGGCGGGTGGATCGCCTGAGTCAGGAGTTTGAAACCAGCCTGGCCAACGTGATGAAACCTTGTCTCTACTAAAAATAACAAAAATGAGCCAAGCGTGGTGGCACGTACCTGTAGTCCCAGATACTCAGGAGACTGAAGCAGGAGAATCACTTGAACCCGGGGGATGGAGGTTGCAGTGAGCCAAGATGATGCTGCTGCGCTCCAGCCTGGGCAACAGAGTGACTCTGTCTCAGAATCCCCCCACCCCCCACCGCCAAAAAAAAAAAAAAATTCCAGGGGCCAGGCATGGTGGCTCACTCCTACAATCCCAGCACTTTGGGCGTCTGAGGTGGGCAGATCGCTTGAAATCAAGAGTTCCAGACCAGCCTGTGCAACATACTGAGATCCCATCTCTACAAAAAATACAAAAATGAGCCGGACATAGTGGCATTCTCTGGCCTGGGTGACAGAGACCCTGTGTCAAAAAAAAAAAAATCTTCCAAAACGCATCTGTAGGGCTCATTTGGTCTCTGGGCTATCAGTTCACTTAAGCTTTCCCTTCTACAAGTTGGATGCGCTCTAACGACTTTTACTCCCACAATCCACTCCCAACCCCTGCAACAGCCATTCAAGCGGAAGTGTGGAGCTGTGACGGGGCAGATGCCGCAGCTCGGTTCATCCACCTGGTGGTACCCTGTACCCGACTGGGAATGGGGTGGTGATGCGTACCCACCTTTTGTCCCCCACTGATGTGCCTGAGAACAAAATCCAGGTCTCGGTAGCGCTGGCAGTAGTTCAGAATTCCACTCAGCCCACCTGGAGCCAGCTGCTGGGCGGAGCTGTTTCCTGGATTTGCCAAGGTGCCTTTGATCACAGCAGAGGGAGACAGTAAGGGATTCCTCCCAGTCCATCCTAGAAAGCTGCGACTCCCCCAGCATCCCCTCCCTCTCACTGTGCTGCCCAAGGTGGCCTCCCAGGACTCAGCACTGGGGGTTTGCTGTTCCCACGTGACCCCCGCATCTTGCGGATCTCTGATCAATGCGGAGGGCTCTCAGGCCTGCATCCCTGTCCCCTCCCACGCTGCCTTCTCCTTCAGAGCACTGCCTGCCTCTGGCCCTCTCAGGGCTCATATACTCGAGTGTATTCTGTCTCCCATGCTCACTGCACCATCCACTCAGTGAGGACAGACTCTAATTGTTCACCACTGTATCCCAGGGCTCAGATCACATAGTAGGTGGACATAGCAAGAGTGACACAGTTGCTAATACAGAGGGTGAACCAGTGGTAGAAGGCACAGAAACTGAGGGAACATCATCATCTCAGCAGGTCAGCGAAACCCTTTGTAAAGCTGTCATCTCTCTGTAATATATAACGGCTGACTAGACTGTAGCTGTTCACTTTTGTCTGCCAGAATTCGTCTGATGTTCATGTTCACCTTTCTCTTAAAATAATTGTACAAATGACTTGTATCAAAATGGTTCTTTTTATGTTTGTGAAACGGAGTCTCACTCTGTTACCCAGGCTGGAGTGCAGTGGTGTGATCTTAGCTCACTGCAACCTCCACTTCCTGGGTTCAGGTGATTCTCCTGCCTCAGCCTTCCGAGTAGCAGGGATTACAGGTGCCTGTCACCACACCCAGCTAATTTTTGTATTTTTAGCAGAGACAGGGTTTCACCATGTTGGCCAGGCTGGTCTTGGACTCCTGACTTCATGATCCGCCCACCTTAGCCTCCCAAAGTGCTGGGATTACAGGCGTGAGCCATGGCCCCCAGCCACAGATACTGTTCTTAATGTGAACATAGTAGGTAAACTTTTTAAAATGTTTTCTAACAAAATATAAATGTTGCCCCTAGATTTTTTTAACCTAAAGGAAATGAGTAACAGCTTGTCAGAGACTTCCTATAGAAGAAAGTTTTTTAGATAACTATGATTAGGTTGGATAAGGCAGCAATTTCAAAATAGCAAGCAGTAGCTGATGCCGAGTTTTAAGGATTTGAGGATCACAATACAGAGATTTTAATGTGATTCTGTCAAAGCCACACAATGTTCTGTTTCTCTAAAGTGTCTGTGATTTGTTCCTCACACTGCAGTGGGTAAAAAAGAAACAAGAAAACAGAACATAAATTTTGAAGTATGTTTCAATGTTGAGTGAATTTTTGTTTTTAGATACCAATAGAACTTATTTGTTTAAAACAAATTTAAAAATAAATATTTATGGACGGAGTCAATGAAATGAGTGGTCTTCTCTGGACAGGCACAAGAATAAGAGTTACCCTGGCTGCCCACCCCGGCAGGAAGACAAGGATAAAAGCAGGGACTGTATCACGGTGCCTCGTCATCCTCACAGCAGTCCTATGTGGAAGGTCCTTCAGTTATCCCCAGTTTACACACAAGGGGACTGAGACTCAGGGTGGGGAGGTAGCTTGCTGAGGGAAATACAACTCTGCTTCTGAAAAGCAGTCCAGTTCAGCATCTCCTGAGGCCCCCAGCTGGATGTGGCGTGGGCCAGGTTCAGTGGTTTCAGCCTCAGAGAATGCACATCCCTCCAGGGCACACACAGGTGCGGAACCAGGCTGGAGAGCACGCGGCCAAGCTCAGCAGCACGGTGGAAGGCATGTAACAAGAAAACATCGGGCACCTTTCAGGCAAGACATTCAGCCCTTTTGTGGATGTGGTATAACATAACAGTGTTGCGGGGCATGGTGGCTCATGCCTGTAACCCCAGCAGTTTGGGAGGTGGAGACGGGAAGGTCACTTGAGGTCAGGGGTTCAAGGCCAGCCTGACCAACATGGTGAAACCCTGTCTCTACTAAAAACACAAAAATTAGCTGGACATGGTGGCGGGAGCCTGTAATCCCAGCTATTTGGTAGGCTGAGGCAGGAGGATCACTAGAACCTGTGAGGCAGAGGTTGCAGTGAGCCAAGAGCATGCCACTGCACTCCAGCCTGGGTGACAGAGAGAGAGTCTGTCTCAAGAAACACACACACACAGGGGTGACAGAGTGAGAGTCTGTCTCAAGAAACACACACACACACACACACACTGTTATTTTTTATTTTGTAGAGAGGTCTCACCATGTTGCCCAGGATGGTCTTGAACTCCTGAGCTCAAGTGATCCACCTGTCTCGGTCTCCCAAAAGTGCTGGCATTACAGACATGAGTCACCGCACCCGTCCAAAAAATAAGTGTTATTACTGAGCACTTACAATGCAACTACTGCAAGTTGCTCAGCTCAGCACTTGAGACCCATGATCTCATCTGAGTCTCACAGCAGCCCTTAGAGGCAGTGACTATCATTATATACGGATGTGAAGCTGCCTCAGGGTTAAAGAAAAGGTGAGGCCTCACAGAATAACATGTAGACCCCACTTATGCTAAAAGAAAAACAAGGAAACAAATGTGTGGGGGTATGCGGGAATCCCACAGAACACAAAAGTTCTGGAGGAAACACACCTAAATGCTAATGGGGCCCCTCTGTGGGAAGAAGAGGAATGGGGTGAACAGGAACCAACTTTCACTCTCCCCCATAAAGTTCTTGTGTTAATTTTTTTTTTTTTTCTGAGGCGGAGTCTCGCTCTGTTGCCCAGGATGGAGTACAGTGACGCAATCTCAGCTCACTGCAGCTTCCGCCTTCCAGGTTCCACCGATCCGCCCACCTCAGCCTCGCGAGTAGCTGGGATTATAGGTGTACACCACCACACCCGGCTAATTTTTGTGATTTTAGTAGAGATGGGGTTCACCATGTTGGCCAGGCTGGTCTCAAACTCCTGGCCTCAAGTGATCTACGGGCCTTGGCCTCTCAAAGTGATGGGATTACAGGCGTGGGCCTCCAGTACCATGGTACCTGGTTCACCCAGAAAAAGGAGTGGGCAGAGGTCGCCTCTGTGAATTCCTGGGGAGGACAGAACTTACCAGAGGCCTTGGTCTCTGTCCCAAGGGGCACTTCCTCAGGAGGCAGGGTAGTATGACTCCCATGGCACTGGAGAGGGTCTCCGAGGAAGCGCAGGCTCAAAGCCTAGGTCTGCCATTTACCAGCCATGTGATCTTGGACAAGTAACTTCACTTTTCTGTCTGTTTCCTCACCTGTAAAATGGGGGTAATAACAGCATTGAAATTATCGGGCTGGGGCACAATGGCTCCCGCTTGTAATCCCAGCACTTTGGGAGGACAAGGCAGGAGGGATCACTTGAGCTCAGGAGATTGAGACCAGCCTGGACAACATGGCAAAACCCCGTATCTACTAAAAATACAAAAGCCAGCTGGCTGTGGTGACGTGTGCCTGTGGTCCCAGACCCGCAGGAGGCAGAGGTAGGAGAATCACTTGAGCCTAGGAGGCAGTGAGTGAGATCACACTACACTCCAGCCTGGGCAAGAATGAGACTGTATCTCAAAAATCAATCATAGGGTGAGGTAAAGACTGACTGCATTTATTCTGTGTTAAGTGTTTAGGTCTGGGCCTGACGTACTACAAGGCACAGTGCGTGTCCCTGTTATTACTTGTGTGTGTGGGGGGCGGGGGGAGCAGGGTGTCACCAGGCATCACTGTGACTGTTATCACTGTTGTTTCTACTCCTGCTGCTGTTCAGGGCCTAAGAAGGCAGTTATTAAGGACAATGTGGCATCAAAGTCTGGGGACATGCGTCCCAGATGTTCTACCACGCCACGTGGGACCTTGATGCCACCATCCCTCCCCAGGCTCCCTTTTTCTCCATCTATAAAAAGAAGACTGGGGTTAAATGACTGCAGCGTCCCCCCTTGTTCAGTTCCCGACTGCATCATTTGTGTAGTATGCAGGCACTGATTCTCTTGTTTAAATACACTTAATCAACTCACTTATACCTCATTTCTCAGCTTACTTCAGAGGACAATTTATTACAATCACAAATGGAAAAGTACTATTATTTTCCATAACAGGAGTCTCCCATACAAATACATAACAGACAGGCCGGGCACAGTGGCTCACACCTGTAATCCCAGCACTTTGGGAGGCTGAGGTGGGTGGATCACCTGAGGTAAGGAGTTCGAGACCAGCCTGGCCAACCTGGTGAACCCCATCTCTACTAAAAAACAAAACTTAGCCAGGCGTGATAGCTGGCGCCTGTAATCCCAGCTAATCGGGAGGCTGAGGCAGGAGAATTATCTGTACCTGGGAAGTGGAGGTTACAAAGAGCTGAGATCGCGCCACTGCACACCAACCTGGACGACAGTGACACACCGTCTCTTTTTTTTTGACACCAAGTCTTGCTCCGTCACCCAAGCTAGATTGCAATGGCATGATCTCGGCTCACTGCAACCTCTGCCTCCTGGGTTAAGTGTTCTACTGCCTCAGCCTCCTGAGTAGCTGGGATTAGAGCGCCTGCCACCGCGCCAGGCCAATTTTTGTATTTTTAGTAGAGAAGGGGCTTCACCATCTTAGCCAGCTTGTCTTGAACTCCTGACCTCATGATCCACCCACCTCGGCCTCCCAAAGTGTTGGGATTACAGGCATGAGCCACTGCGCCCAGCCAAGACTCCATCTTAAAAACAAACAAACAAAAAAAAAAACAAACAAAAAAAAAACAAATACATAGTAAGTAACAGAAGGTTATTTTATTTATTTTTTGTGTGTGTGTGAAGGAGTTTCACTCTTGTTACCCAGGCTGGAGTGCAATGGCGCGATCTCGGCTCACCGCAACCTCCGCCTCCTGGGTTCAGGCAATTCTCCTGCCTCAGCCTCCTGAGTAGCTGGGATTACAGGCACGTGCCACCATGCCCAGCTAATTTTTTATATTTTTAGTAGAGACGGGGTTTCACCATGTTGACCAGGATGGTCTTGATCTCTTGACCTCGTGATCCACCCGCCTCGGCCTCCCACAGTGCTGGGAGTACAGGCTTGAGCCACCGCGCCCGGCCCCAGAAGGTTATTTTTGATAGAAGATAGAGGCTGTCCTGTTGAAGGCTCCAAGTGTGAAGGCTGCTATTTATCCATCTGTCAAAGGGAGGTCATCTCAATTGCGACGGTGTTAAAGACCTGCTAGCACCAAACTCACTTTCTCTGTGATACCATCAAAAGGTATGAAAGAATTAGAGGGGGAAACTTCTTCACAATGTGAACACCTCCTGAATGCCCTGTCAGCATCCCACAGTCTCGTATGCAGATACCCCAGATCTTGGGGAATGCTGGTCAACTATTTTCACCCTAAAACCAGGCTCTAAGTAAGTGCTGCCAAAAGACTGGACGAGCGTAAGACACACTTCTATCTGATGGGGTATCCAGCTCACCATCCTGCTGAGAGGCAGAGAGTACACAGGACAGGGCTCAGAGATGTCCTTAGGATAGAGCTACACCAAAGACCCAGAGGTCAGGCCATGGGCCCACGCCTACCTCCTTCTCAGTTTCTGAATACTCCTTGAGTCTCTCCATGGCCACAATGTTGGTTTCCATCTCAGATGACATCTGAACCAGCCAGTTCAAGTACACGGTGACCTGCAAGAATCAAAAGGCATTTCTAGAGTGAGCAAGCATTCTTTATTTTCCCATTTTTCTTTTTTTTTTTTTTTAATAAGATAACAGGAAACAAATTATTTTCAACAAGAATGAATTATGGGAGGCCGAGGCAGGCGGATCACTTGAGGTCAGGAGTTTTGAGACCAGCCTGGCCAACATGGCAGAACCCATCTCTACTAAGCATGCTTGTAATCTCAACTATTTGGGAGGCTGAGGCAAGAGAATCGCTTGAACCCAGGAGGCAGAGGTTGCAGTGAGCTGAGATTTTGCCACTACACTCCAGCCTGGATAACGGACTGACACTTTGTCTCCCTCCCCGCCAAAAAAGTGATGAATTGTGAAACATTCAGGTAAGAATGGTATAGAAATGAGCAACCCAGGTGTAGCCATCACCCAGGCCTGCCACACTGCCAACTCCACAGCATATACCACATTTTCACGATAACCTATGGGCCACATAAGTCATCAGAAAGGCAACTGGAAAATATTGTGAACCAAGTGACAATATAAAAACACAGTGTATCGCCACCTGTGAGGTGCAGCTAAAGGAGTGCTTAGAGGGAAATTCATAGCTTTAACAGCATTCCACTGGTACCTGGAAGTGTCCTCTTGGGCCATCAAGGAATGCCTTTGATGGGGAAAATCCTGGCAACATGTCAAATTCCTCTCCATTCTAGCTGGTCACCAGGCATTGTATCCACTCCTCCAACTTCATGCCTCTCCCTTTCCTCTCCCCCATTCCTGCTGGAGTTGGAATCCAAAGCACAGCACAACTGGCTCCCCCATTAACACATGTTGATGATCCAGCCACGAGCATCCCAGCTATTCAGGAGGAGGCTAAGGCACAAGAGTCACTTGAACCCAGGAAGCAAAAGTTTCAGTGAGCCAAAATTGCACCACTGCTCTCCAGTCTGGGTGACAGTGGGAGACTCTGCCTCCAGGAAAAAAAAAAAAAAGTTAAACCAGCTGAAAATGGAGAAAGGCTGGCAGAACCAGCACGTGCAGAGGCCTGGAGGCAGGAGGGAACACAGCGCATCTGGGGAACTGAGAGAAGGCACAGGTGGCTGGAGCTAGGAGATCATGGGACAGCAAGGAGTGAGGCTGGAAAAACCGATCGCAGCCAGACCACACATGACATGGGAGACTGGGGTCAGGATTCCAACTTTTATGCCAAGACTGGCAGAAAAGAGAAGCCACCAATGAGCTTCAGGCAATGTGTGACATGTTGCCCGGCAACCAAGGTCAAGTGTCACCTCCACACCACAGCTGGGCCAGCCTCCCCAGCTCCTTTCACTCTGAGCACAGAATACCAACTCACCCATCTCCCCAGTGCCCAGCTCCCTCAAGGAGACAAAGGTTGGAGTTTCTTTCCTTGGTGTATTTCCTGGGTAACCCGGCATGGCGTTAAGCAAATCAGTCTAGTCACCTCACAGGCAAGACAGCAATCTGCTTTAGGCCAGCCCCTGCCTAAATCAACTGGCTTGTTTTCAAGAAACTCCAGGTGCCCATGGAATACTACGCAGCCATCAAAAACGATGAGTTTGTGTCCTTTGTAGGGACATGGATGAACCTGGAAGCCATCATTCTCAGCATACTGACATAGGAGCAGAAAATCAAACACCGCATGTTCTCACTCATAGGCGGGCGTTAAACAATGTGAACACATGGACACAGGGAAGGGAGCACTACACACTGGGGTCTATTGGGGAGAAACAGGCGAGGGACAGCAGAGGGTGGGGGTGGGAGGGGATGGCATGGGGAGAAATGCCAGATATAGGTGAGGGGAAGGAAGGCAGCAAATCACACTGCCACGTGTATACCTATGCAACAATCTTGCATGTTCTTCACATGTACCCCAAAACCTAAAGTGCAATAAAAACAAACAAGAAACTCCAGGTGTCTTTACCCAGGTCTATGCTCACTGTCATTTCAAGCTTTTCATGCTGAATTTTGAGTCTTAAAAATCATCTGGACTGGGCACAGTGGCTCACCCCTATAATTCCAGCACTTTGGGAGGCCAAGGTAGAAGAACTGCTTGAGGCCAGGAGTTTGAGACCAGCATGGAAAACACAGTAAGACCCTATCTCTACAAATGATTTTAAAATTAGCTAGGCATGGTGGTCCACACCTACAGTCCCAGCTACTCAGAAGGCTGAGCTAGGAGGATCGCGTGAACCCAGAAGCTGGAGGCTGCAGTAAGCTATGGTCACACCACTGCACTCCAGCCTGAGCAACACAGCAAGGCCCTGCCCCCTACCAAAAAACAAACAAACAAACAAAAATCATATGACCCTACAGTCTTGCTGAAAGGTAACAGGTCTGATGCGTAATTGATTGTTTCCTTTTGAGTTTTCAAGTCTCCATTCTGGGAAATGAAATAGGTGGGAGAGAAGACAGGTCATAATTAAGAATGTGTTTATTTCACCAGTTGGCTTCATCATGCAGTCAAGCTGCCTGCTGTCTCTAAAATTAGTCTGCAGGGTTTGGAAACCCCTTTCTCATGAGCAGTGGAGTGTGGTGGGCTTGGGGTTCAGAAGTGACAAGTGTGTGGCCCGGCATGGTGGCTCACACCTGTAATCCCAGTACTTTGGGAGGCCAAGGCAGGCAGATTACTTGAGCCCAGGAGTTCAAGAACAGCCTGGGCAAAAAAGTGAAATCCCATCTCTACAAAAAATAAAAAAAGATTAGTCGAGCATACCTGTACTTCCAGCTACTCGGAAGGCTAAGGTGGGAGAATCACTTGAATCTGGGAGGTGGAGGCTGCCGTGAGCCGTGACTGTGCCACTATACTCCATCCTGAATGACAGAGTCAGATCCTGTCTCAGGAAAAAAAAAGAAAAAAGAAATAAGCATGTTGTGTCCGGCTCCACTCTTGGTCCAACTTTGATGATAAGTTATAAGCCCTCTGGCTTTGCTGCTCCTTGAAGATAAAATTGAAGTTAAATGAGGATTAAATGGGCCTGGCATCTCTGCCCCTTCCTTCCCATGTCCTATGATTTGGGGTAATTTCTCTGGCTTCCTGGAGGGTCAGTAAGGGTAAGGCGAGAGAGGCCACCACAGTCACCTCTGCCCCTGGCCTCAGTCCTGACTGTGATGACAAGTTAAGGAAGAAACCAGGAACAGACAGTCCTGGGAAGCTCTGGACACATCGGGGTGGATATGAGAAAGCGTCCCAGCCTCACTCCCCCGCTACCACTTTTCATGGGGTTTTTTGTTTATCTATGCATATTTTTATCCTACATTTTAAAAATTCCATTCCCTTTTTTAAAAACATAATCACATTTATTTTTTAAAATAAACTTTGGATCACTACCATAAATGGAGAACTATTAACACTTGCCCAAAATAGATGATCTTTAAAAAATAAACAAAATAAAACAGGAGCTCGAAACCCACTCTCCTTGTTACAAAGAGAGGCTAGCAGCTGTTAGGTACTGAAAGCAGGCTAGGACCCAACTGAGACTTTCTCAGGGACATAATCATTAACGACTAACTGAGAAATGAAAAACGGGTCAGGTGCAATGGCTCACGCCTGTAATCCCAGCATTTTGGGAGGCCGAGGAGGGAAGATGAGCCCAGGAGTTCAAGACCAGCCTGGCCAACATGGTGAAGCCCTGTCTCTACTAAAAATAAAAAAATTATGCAGGCATGGTGGCAGGCACCTGTAGTCCCAACTACTAGGGAGGCTGAGGCAGAAATGTTTGAATCCAGGAGGCAGAAGCTGCAGTGAGCCATGATTGTGTCACGGCACTCCAGCCTCAGTGACAGAGTGAGACCCTGCCTCAAAAGAAAAATAAAAGGACTTTCTGTACATCAGTGGTCATTATCTTTATGCAGACCCCGGAGAACATCACAGACTGCATTGCCCACAGTTTTGTGTTCAGTGGCTGAGTTGGTGCCACTGCACCCTGAACTCAGCCTGCACAAGAGAGGGAGGCTCCATCTCTAAAAACGGAAGGAAGGAAGGAAGGAAGGGAGGGAGGGAGGGAGGGAGGGAAGGAAGGAGGGAGGGAGGGAATTACGGAGGCCATGCAAAACACAGATGTGGCTCTTTGCTGTGGAACTTTCTATGCCTTCCTCTACCTACTTATCTCCTGAACAAGATTACAAGCTACCTGAGGTCAAGAGCCCCATGTGATCCATTGCACCCCCAAAACTGTGTCCCCTGAAAACACTTCCTAAAGGCCAAATAAACCTCCAGCACCTCCCCTCCTTGATCTAGGGCCTGGGGGTGGGTAACCTTTCCTTGCCCATGAGATCTGGGCAAAGGTGTTTGGTTAAGGCCAAGTGAGGTGGAAGTGGCCCTCAAATCCGAAAGCAAGTGTGGGTTTTCAGGAAGCGGCACGGGGAAGAATCAGAACCAACTCTGAATGAAATCTAGAATTCAGGTGGGGAGCTGGGGCTCCCTGCTTCATGACCTAGGGCTCACAAACCCACGCTAGCACCTCGGGATGAAAATCTTCCATCCTTCTGCGCTCGTGCACTGTCTGGAATCTCCCACTAGAATGCAGGCTGTGTAAGATGATAACAATGGCAAAAGTGACATGTACCAAGGCACAGTGCTAGGCCACATCACCTTTGCCCTCTTCTGACCCCTAGAGCAACTGCAGGTCCATAATCCTTTCTCAAATCCCCAAGATCCAATATGTTTGGGCTCTGAATTTGTCAAAGCCCAAATTCAGACATTTGTTTGTTGTTGTTCTTTTGCTGTTTTTTTCTTTTTGTTTTTTGAGATGAGGCTCACTCTGTTGTCCAGGCTGGAGTGCCATGGCTCAATCTCGGCTCACTGCAACCTCTGCCTCCTGGGTTCAAATGATTCTCATGCCACAGCCTTCCGAGTAGCTAGAATTTACAGGCGCCTGCCACCATGCCTGGCTAATTTTTGTATCTTTGGTAGAGACAGGGTTTCCGCATGCTGGCCAGACTGGTCTTGAACTCCTGTCCTCAGGTGATCTACCCGTCTCAGCCTTCGAAAGTGCTGGAATTACAGGTGTGAGCCACCATGCCCAGCTGACTCAGCCAGTTTTTTAAAGCTAGCACGGTGAATATACTGCATATGCTATGAATCCCCAGGGATCTAAGGAAGCCCTCTATAATCAAACACAAGGATACTTCCTTTTTTGTACAGACAGGGTCTTGCTATGTTGCCCACGATGGTCTCAAACTCCCTGCCTCAAGAGATCCTCCTGCCACAACCTCCCAAAGTGCTGAGATTACAAGCATGAGCCACCATACCTGGCCTTGAGATAGTTTTATATGGAATGCTGCTTCACAAAGCTTGAACCTTCCAGGTCCCCACAAGTGACCTGAGCAAAGACCCACACCACATAGGTGAACTCGAGTGTCAGAAGCATGAGCAGATGTGAACTCATGAGGCCTGCGTCAGTCACGCCACCTCCCCACATTTACCTCTGTAGTTGCTCCCCTGCACTGTCCGTCACCAGCACGCCATCCTCCATCTGCTTTGCTTCCTTCCCTGGACCGATGATGCCCAAGACCCCTGGCAGAAAAGAGACAAGGAAGGGAGGGGAGTTATATGAGCCAGATGCTAAAACCAAGGGCAAGAAAAACTGGCCACTTCAGGGAAGAGATGGCAGAGCACTGCACAGCCAGGATGCTCAGAAAGGAGACCTGCTCTGCAGAGGCCATGAACAGGCTGTCTGGTTGAGGGGCAGGTGGTATCTGGAGTTCAGTCCCTTGGGGCAGGAACGGTGCTTTGCAGCTGTGCAGAGAGCTCCATCCACTGAGGGCACTGGGCCTGAGTCAGCATCCTGTACCAGCAGGGATGAGTAAAACCCCGCCCAGGTAACAGTATCTCTGCTGTGATGAGCTCACTTCCCAGGACCAAGATGCAAGGAATGGCAGGAGGAAAGGGGCACAGTCCCCTGGTTCCCAAGCACTGCAAGAGGTGATATTCAAAATAGATAACCAGTTTGACAAGGGCATCAGCCAAGAGGCAGAGGCCCAGGGACCCCTGTAGTGCCAGAAATTAACCCTTTAGTGCCCAGATCACAGAGACCTCCCGAGAGTTCATTGTAAAAGGTACCTGGGGCACTGGCTGTTTCCATGGTAATAAGGAAATATTTCAACATTTGAACAACTGGGGAACCGAGTTCTGCCAACAATCAGGTAAGCTTCAAAGTGGGCCCTTCCCTGGTTGAGTCTTCAGATGAGACCCCAGCCCTGGCAGATGCCTTAGCTGCAGACTTAGGAAAGGACCCTGATAAGGACACAGAGGGACAGGACTGCTGGATATCCACCCCGATCCCAGGAAGAGTCCACCCAGCATCAATAATCACCATCAGAACGTCAACAATGTCAATGACAGCCAACAATTATCAAGGGCACTCGGGCACTGTGCTGTGTTGAAACAGATCATCTTTCCTGGCTCACAATACCTCAGTGATGATGATGACCTACAGCCCCCACTCTGCACTGGCTGCCCTCATTCTTTGGTGCCAGGAGAGAAAGCAGCACAATGTAAGGCAAGAAAGGGCTGACCCCAGAGAGTGGAAGAGTACCCAGGACGGAAGATACAAAAGGGATAAATATGCAGCCGGCAACACAGTCAGGGTAACCACGGAACATGCTCAGGTGACACGAATAAAAGAACTCAAAAATGCAGGGTCTCCCAGAAACAGCCACAGGGAGACAAAGACACGCCTGGAAGGGAAGTGGGGGCTGCAGATCATTCCTGGACTCGAGGAGGCACTCTGCACCAGGGATTCTCAGTCTTGGTTGCAAGTGAATTGCAGGGGGCTTTATAAATGAGCAGGTGGCAGTCAGGCACGGTGGCTCACGCCTGTAATACCAACACTTTAAAGGCCACGGCAGGCAGATCACTTGAGGCCAAGAGTTCGAGTCCAGCCTGGCCAACGTGGCAGGCTAAGGCATTTGTGCCAGGATGGAAACCGGTACCAGGATGGAAACCCATGCTTTCTGCTTCCTGTATTAAGAAAGCTTTATAAGAAAAAAAACGTGAGCTGATCTGAATGGCACGCTTGGTGCCATAGTTGATCTTCATTACAGTGCTGCCTCCTTATTTTGTCACCAACTGGTCACAAAGTGTGGACTGTCAGTGTCCCGTGGACAACATGTCAAGTCTGTTTAGACCACAGTTACGGCATGGTCTAAACATATTCTAAAATTTACTTATTTTGGGCTGGGTGTTGTGTTTCATGCCTGTAATCAAAGCACTGTGGAAGTCTGAGGTAGGTGGATCACTGGAGGCCAGGAGCTTGGGACCGCTCTGCCCAACCTGGCAAAAAAAAAAAATTGCTGGGCCGGGTGGTGCATACCTATAATCCCAGCTACTCAGGAGGCTGAGACATAAGAATCCTTTGAACTTTGGGAGGCAGAAGTTGCAGTGAGCCAAAACTGAGCCACTGCACTCTAGCCTGGGCAACAGAGCAAGACCCTGTCTCAAAAAAAAAAAAAGTAGTTTTAAAAATGTACTTTACTTTCTTTCTATCCCCACTAGAACGTCAGCTCCAAGTGGACTGCTGTGTCCTCAGTACATAAAACAATGCAGAGCAGGTGCTGAACAAATACTTGTCATCCACTGTAAAGAAAAAAAAATCATACAGAAAGATATAAAATGAAAGTATACTGTCTTCTCTTCCATCAGCTCCTCTCCTCCGAAGTGACAGTTCTGTGTACGCTTTTACAAGAAAATGTACAAGCATACAGGGATTTAAAAATATTCTGACAGACTTAAATGGGATCATACTGACACAGAGTTCTCTTTGTGTAGTTAATACTGTATCATCCAGGTTCATTCTGATCTGCTTTTTTTTGGATTTTGTTTTGAAATGGAGTCACGCTCTGTCCCCCAGGCTGGAGTACAGTAGTGTGATCATAGCTCACTACAGCCTCAAACTCCCGGGCTCAAGCAATCCTCCTCCTACTCTAGCTTCCCAAGCAGCTGGGACTGCAGGTGCGCCGCTGCCATGCCTGGCTTGCTTCATTTGTGATCATGATGCATGCTTGTTGGGCATGTGGAAATGCCCATTACCTTTCTCCCATTTCTTGCAAAAACAGGTTGTTCCCTGTTTTTTACTATTATGATCCATGTTCTGGTGCCTGTCCTGGGGTAGGGTGACTGGTCTATCCCCGCCTACCTGGCTTTGAAAAGTTTAAAGACAACAGTGCAGGCGGGGCACAGCGGTTCACAGCTGCAATCCCAGCATTTTGGGAGGCAGAGGCAGGGGCAGATCACCTGAGGTCAGGAGTTCGAGACCAGCCTGACCAACATGATGAAACCCCGTCTCTTCTAAAAACACAAAATTAGCCAGGTGTGGTGGCTTGTGTCTGTAATCCAGCTACTGTGGAGGCAGAGGCAAGAGAATCGCTAGAACCCAGGAGGCAGAGGTTGCAGTGAGCCGAGATCATGCCATTGCACTCCAGCCTGGGCAACAAGAGCAAAACTCCGTTTCAAAAAAAGGAAAAAAAGACAGTGCAACTGTTTTGCAAAGCTGGCCCCACATCAGCAGACCATATAGAAAGGGACTATGGAAATTTCCTTTTAAGCACAGTTAAATACAGTTTATGGTGAACAACAACTTCAGATCATGCCGTGTTTTTTCTTCCCGTCTTTTTAGTATTAACTGTGTCATTCTTCTTGTAATGTTGCTCTCATTACAACTATTCCTTCTCGGTCAGGTGGCCAAATTTTTCTGGTAAGTTTCTGTGAAGCAGCATTAAACATTTTTATAAATACGAAACTTTTCTGTTAAACTAACACCTGCTTCACGTTAGCTGAGTTGCAGGTGGAATGTTTAAGGAAGTTCTAGCCTTTTCAGCATTTGTGAAAGCGTGTTCATACTCACACTGAATTTTCTGACTCTTACGTAAAATCTCTCAGAGTCTGGACCTGCAGGAGAGATGGTGTTCAAATTTAAGCCTGCATCAGAATCACCTGGATAGCTTATTATATTTGACTGATTGATTAAGATGGAGTCTCACTCTGTCTCCCAGGCTGGAGTGCCGTGGCGTGATCTTGACTCACTGCATCCTCAGCCTCCAGTTCAAGCGATTCTTCCACCTCAGCCTTTGAGTAGCTGGGATTACAGGCGTGCACCACCACGCTGGCTATTTAAAAAATATTTTTTAGTAAAGATGGTGTTTCACCATATTGGCCAGGCTGGTCTCAAACTCCTGACCTCAGGTGATCTGACTCACCCTCAGCTCGCCCCAGTGCTGGGATTACAGGCATGAGCCACTGCGTTGGCCGATAGCTTGTGACTGCAAAACACAGCTTGCTGGGCCCCACCCAGATTTTCAGTTTAGTAGGTCTGGGTGGGGCCTGAGTATCTGCATTCCTAACACAGGTACTGCTGCTGCTGTTTCAGGTCGACATGTAGAGACACACTGGAGTCGATCCTCACTACTCGAAGTGTGGTCCATGGACCAGAGCCATGGCATCACCTGGTGCTTGTTAACAGTGCAGAATTTTAGGCACTCAGCCCGGATCCACTGGAACAGAACCTGAATTGTAACTAGTTCTCTAGGTGGCTGTGTGTGGACATTAAAGTTCAAGAGACACTGGCAGAAGGTAGGAGTAAAGAAACTTTTCCGGAAACACTTTGAGCATTCCGGGCCATACGGCCTTTGTCACAAAACCTGTCTCTTCCAGCATAGTGGAAAAGCAGCCTTAGATAATACAGAAATCAAAGGGTGTGACTGTTCCTGTAAAAATGTATTTAGAGAAACCAAAATTTGAATTTTACAGAATTCGCATGTGTCATGTAATTTTTTTTTTTCCACTGTTAAAAATAGGAAATCTGGCTGGGCGCTATGGCTCATGCCTATAATCTCAGCACTTTGGGAGGCTGAGGCAGGCGGGTTGCTTCAGGCTAGGAGTTTGAGATCAGCCTGGCCAACATGGTGAAACCCAGTCGGGTACTAAAAATAAAAAAATTAGCCAGGCACGGTGGTGCATGCCTGTGGTCACAGCTAATCAGGAGGCTGAGGCAGGAGGATCACTTGAACTCAGGAGGTGGAAGCTGCAATGAGCCAAGGTCATGCCACTGCACCCCCAGCTGGGCAAAAGAGTGAGACGCTGTCCCTCACAAAAAAATTAGCTGGGTGCGGTAGAGCATGACGGTCATCTCAGATTCTTGGGAGGCTGAGGCACGGGAATTGTTTGAATCTGGGAGGTAGAGGTCGCTTTGAGCCGAGGTCATACCACTGCACTCCAGCCTGGGCAACAGAGTAAGACTGTCTCCAAAAAAATTAAAAAATGAAATCCATGCTGAGCTCATGAGCCGTATATGGACCTCAGTCCATCCTTGGCCAGCCCCTGGCTTAGAGGAATGTTCTTCTGGGAGTCAGGTCACCCGCCACATTCTACTGCCAGCTCACAGTGTGACCTGGAAGCCGGTTAGCTCACCTCCCTGGCTCTAGATTTTGTCATATGAAAAATGAAAGGATTAGATCCCAAGCATGTCAAATACTGGGCCCTGCCCTCCCTTCTCATGCACACAGCTGACACCCATAGTC